GATGTCTGACACTATCGTTCACAAAGTTTAAAAATATGCGGCTATCATCTGTTCAGTTTTGCTTCGTTTGTTATCGAGACTCCATCCTGTGCTATTTGCCTGGGTTACACACACACACGAGAAAAATAATTTGATACATTTACTCTCCTGTTTTCTTTCAAGATCCAAGATTCTTTGACATCCCACTTTGCACGTGTACTCACTTGTCACACGTACACGTCTACTCAAATGCTGTTTATCTAGCAATTCATTTGTTTTGTCTCACTGTTTTTCTTTGCTTATCCGTGCTAGCATCAATTACCTAACGACGGAGTCGAATAGTTTGTGTGGCTCTGCTACTCTGCGAGCTAGACCAAGATTCAATCATGCGCGAAAAATCAGAAAAAGCCCAGTTTCACAAGATCAACTGGGTTTTCCTTGAACCGTCAACCTTGTTCCCTGTAGAACTCAGTTCTGCGAATAAGGACGAGAAGGACCAGTTTATCGGCCGAAACCCGCTAGAAGAACGTAAGAGAGGAGAACGTTGGATATCCTTCCAACAGTGGAAGAAGTCTTATTACTTCATTGGGCAACTGAAGCTTACCCAAACTGGGGATCCTTCAGCCAACAAAATGTTGTGCCGTCCACGTTCCGTAGTCTCATTGGATGCATGAGGCCGAGGGGCGATTCCGATAATCAACGAACTAGTGACAGAAGACAAAAATGAAACTCCATAACCTTACGTGACAGGTCTGTAGGGGCTCCCACACAGATGTTTTAGTCATATCCCCGCTTGGGACCTATGCCCCAGTTTTCAGTCGAAAGCTTTGGATAGGGGTCCCAAAGAAAAGCACTTCATCAACCCGGGCTGCCGCGAAGTATGGCTTATCCTGTAGTCTCATTCAGTTTTGGGCGACCCTTATTCTCATCTCTCTTGTTCTTTCTTTCCCCCTTAAACACACAAAATGCCTCTTATTTCCATCAATCATGGTAGATAATTTAGTGTTTGACAAGTAAAGTGGACAAATCAGGATTCTGTAGCCTGATCGAAACAACAGTTGCCTTCAACTAGCCGCAATCAATGTTCGCACATTATTACTAACACGCACGATGTGGCGGGTGTCGGGATTACACCAAGCGTTGAGACTGAACACTCTTATTGCGACTGAATCCTAATCAGTAACCGATTGTCTCGTTCACTTCATCAGCTGTTTTTTTATCGTATTCTTGCGCGCGCTGACTGCGTGCGATTTTCCTGAAATGAAGATTGATCTCTACAATGCTCTTGCTTTATCGGTGAAAAGTTTTCATTCACCGCACAGTATGGTTGTCGCCAGAAACTTTAAGGCTCAAGTGGGCCAATCAGAAAGGCATTTAGGAGGTCCGCACCCAGTCCTAGTCCACGGGACGGACAAAGGTGACCGTTTGCTTCAACTTTGTGTGGGCCAATGAATCGCTTTTACCAACCACCAACTTAGTACATAAGGAATGACTTTATCCTACATGGAAAACTCTTCACTCATTTCAATGATAGATGGAATTGTATCACATTGTTATCGCTTATGATTAGTGGGAATCTATTGAAGACTGTGCCTCTTAAAGATCGACAACCATGGATGGATACAGGTCATGCTTTTATACGAGTACCAGGTAAGAAATAGCGGTAAATTGACCTTCCACACGGATCTCTCATCACTTCTCAACTTAGCCGCTCGTCGAGGAACTCATATGAAGCTAATCAACTAAGCTGTTCAGTCATCCATCCTTCCAAGCATCGATACAAACAAATAACCAAAGCACAAACAATCAGTTTCCTCAACCAATTCTGTTGCGTTGAACTATCCTTTGGGATACCACAAGTGACAATGCGCAAGTCTCCGACAAATGTCTGCTAGAAAGTCGTAAGAGGTCGCAATGCATACGAAGAAGGAGAAAATTGTGGTTATGCGGAATAGCTGTAATATGTATTGTGTAAACAACAATACAGGCCCAATGGACACCAAGTGTGGGTTAGGTAATTGCGGAGTCAGGGTCAGACTAGTTCACTTTTAACAACCGCCTTCTAGAGCGATGGACAGAACTTTTCAAAGTATAGTTCAGCTGGTCTTTGTCTTCAAGTGTATAAGGTGTACCAGTTGATGCCAGTCCCGTCCACAAAGGGACGGCATTCTGGTAATGAGTTATCTGATTAGGTATAAGTCCTCCGACCAAGATAAGTGGATCTCATTAGTTTTTCTGTGTACGCCTGGTTCAGCCTTCAAACCCACCCACCCTCTTTGGGTAGGCGTTGGCAAATTTGTTTGTCAAGTCTGANCCCCCCCCCCCCCGCCGCACCTAAATAAAGTGCAAGCGCTCATATAGAAGGCTCGGTTGATGTTTCCACGTTGATGCATCCACGGGGTCATTGTGACATTCGGTTGTTGCGGTTATATGCTGCACCTGTCCGACTGGTGATGTTAGATGGTGGAGAGATGTGGTCGTTGGGGTGGGGGGGGGGACAGAACAAAGACGGAATACCCGCGTTGAAACTCAGTTGTGTGCGCTGTTATACTCAAATCTCTTGGGCAAACTGGACAAAGAAGGACGAGGTCAGAAGAAGAGCATTTTGGGTAATCGCGTTTGCAGATTGCAACGAGGGTTTTGATCCCTGATAAATTAAGATCGCGCGAGGATATGAGTTAAGTGCATGTCTCAAAGAAGGTGTACGATGTTTGCTGTGCCATGTAATGGGTGGAAAAAATTTAATTATGCTCAAACTAGGACTTTGCATGCGGATATTCAAGCTCCGTTCGGGTTTCGTGGTTGAGCACCTCTGGATAAGCTAATGGGGTGATGGTTGCGCAATGGTTTAGTCGCTAGCACTGGTGTGCTTCGGACCCTATGGTCCGAGGTTCGAGCCTCGCTATCCCCACCCAACTTTTGGTGGTAGGCGGCTTTGCTGTCGTCCGGTTCTATACCACGCCTGATCTAGCGGGGCCCTATGTGGTTTGCCACTCCAAGTCCCGGGGCTGAGTTTACCGGTTCCCATCACTGAACAGCAAGTCCTCGTGACTATGGCGTTTATCCCGTCTGCGCTTCAACACACTAAATATTCCATTTCGCTTGTTCGCTGAGCTTGGTAATTTGTTTGCAAACGTTTCATCACCAGCCGAGGTGACATCATCAGTGCTTTGAAGTGTAGTGAAGTGTATGAAGTGTGAAGTGGCACTAAATACTGTGTAATTAAAAAAAAAGTTGGTTAGGGTCACTGTGCAATATGATTTAGTGTCATAAACAGTATCGCTGATGCAAGCACGCAATTTGTCCTCAAATTCAGTTTAACTATACTCCATATCTATACCTTCTTATTAATTCTAGCTTTTTTAATTCTTCTCTCCGCTCGTTCATTCAAATACCAAAATACAGCAACCGAAATCACCGCCAGTAAAGTTCAAGGTCATTATTTTTGTGAACCAAAATGCACCGCGCACTCGTCACAATGAGCGAGATTCTCTCGTCGTTTTTTTGTTCATTTGGCAAACAATGCTCTCCGAAAGTGTTCCGTTGTGAATGAGTCAACTTAGGGGGTTCACATGTTGTCTTTTATGCATTGATGGCGGTTGCCACATAGACCAATTTAATTTGAGGTTTTTCAATTGAATATATATTTATACTGTTCACTTATCTTTGTTCTGTCTATACCTGTGCCTCTCTCATCCTCACAGTCGTAGCCATCTTGATCGGACTGAGTTTGGCCGAGAGTGAAATTGAGGTTATCCACGACCACGGGGACACAGCACTCACACGACTACTGGTCTCTAATCGACTTCTTGTGGACGCAGATTTGAAAGCTGCACAAGCTCTCGGACAGGATATCGGCGTCGAACTACCGCGAAGTGAAATGGAACTATTGGAAGAGAATGCCTTGGTCGGCAGCAACAACGGTCCGAGAAGTGCGCTCAGTGGTGGAGATTTCGCATTGTTCCTTTCCCCACCGCAACTTAGTTTTGCCTTGTTGATTGCGGCGGAATTCCTCATCCTACTGGCTTTCCTGGCCGTCCTGATCTACTTCGTGCGTGTTTGTGAAAAGGCCGAGGAAGCACGGAAAGAGATGCGACGAGCGGAAACCAGTCAGATTTAGCCCAATTGTTCCGACTAGCCTAACCATTAGACTGGTCATGCAGATCATGTTGGAAGGTGCTTTTCTCACATGCTAGTGCATTCATTATATGACCTTCCATCTCGATACCCAGCACAGTTTTTCCGTATACATACTTCTTGCTTCATTTTTAACGCCCCGAACCGCGGATTATTGGTTTCACATGGCTGCCTTGGAACTCAATTTGCAGTTGTTCTTTTATGCTTTCTGTTTTCATGTCCGAACCCTCCCCCCCCCCGCTCGCAGTTTGATGTGTTCACGCGTGCGATTGTAACGGATGCTTTGATTGTACGAGTTTCTCAGTCGAGATTTCCCTCTGCCCTCCCCTTTTCTCTCTCTGTCTCGTGATCAGCACTTGATTAGGTACTTGCTGTGACTGTCACTGTATACCCTACTAATCACCCCGTCAATTTTGTTTTTTTTATCGGCCCATGAACTCCGTCCCTCTGTTCCCGTTATCCAACCGCGTAAAAGAAAACCGGGTTAATAGCCTGTACTGTTTCGGGAAAGTTGTTTGTGACATATAGCTCTGTTTTCATGAGACAGGACTCAACTGTGTTGCAATATATATATATCCGTAATAACAATACGAATGATAATGCCACAGAGGTTTTACATTTTAACACACAATTACTCGCGAATAATGGTGTGGGCTGTACTATCCAAATTCTGTTCGATCATTCTTCAGAGTCCATTCAATTCTCAGTTCATCCAGCCAGCGATACTCGAGTTTTGCCCTCGTGAAAACCTTTTTCACAAGCACAGATTCATTGGTCTATCCAGGATTTTATTTCACACCCTCTTGTATAGACCGGGTGTAGATGGTGTTTATGCCAACCCGGTTGATCACAATCGTCATGTCAACATGTTAGATTTAGTTCTCAACACTATACATCATTCGGTCGTTAAGGCTCAATACCAAGGATATTTTTACGCACCGTATGTAGTAGCAGTGAGCTGTCTGGTTTGTGTCCGTGTCCTGGCAATTCCAACCAGTACTGTCTTGGCTGTAGCCTACCCTAATATAAAGCATTGTTCTGACAGTTAAATCAATGTATTTGTTGTGGTGTAGACTTTTGCATGAACAATATATTAGCAGTTTAACCAAAAACCACACAATTTCGTCTGGAAAAGAACGAATAAAAATACGAATAAAACAGTTAACCTTCAAAGTTGTTGATAAATTCAGAGGAAATCAGCTGTCAGTTTGCAAAGATTCCAGCGAAATAAAAAATCGCAGAACTTTCTGCATATGGTATTGCGGGAGTGTAATAAACGGTATTTACAGGATTCGTTGAATGAGAGTGGCATTTAGATAGCTCACCATGACTGGCATCAGAAAGGATTTTCCGGGCAAATTGGTCACGTGCGTACAAGTGTAGTTCACACAGTTTTGTAGATAGATCAACAACCAGTATAATAGACACGACTGGTAATCTGCAGTCCGAGACGAATAATTTTTAAATCTTTCATAAATCGACTGTCAAAATCCCCGACAGGTTAGTAAAAAATAATAGAGACAACACACCGACAAATAGAAAGTAAAATTATTTCTGTCTATGGGTTCGAATTTGAAAAGGCAGTCCGCGAATTTTCTTTACATTGATGTGAAAGTGGAATGTCCAATTTAAATTTGTGTCGATTGTAATCCTTGAATATTTCACAAAATGTACTCTGGTTAAAGATCCGGTGTTTGTGACTGAGAGGTCATTGGGGAAAAGATACACTCGAATCATTTAGATCGGACAGAAAGTTCATGAGTTCATGGGTGTCCCCTCAGACACGAAAATGATTTGGCTACGTTATCAGTATATTTGTATTAACAGGTCACCATTGTAGATGAGAAATGAGAATGGAGCACTCGTATTGTTCACTAGCTGTTTAGATCGTTTCGTATCTAGCTGAGTTCTGTTTGTGAAGTAGACAATGAGCCACGCCAGTCGGTGCTTGGGTCTGTCAGTGGGGTGAGTGGAGGGGGACGTGGAACAGATGCGATTGTGAACAAAAAACACAAACAAACTAAGAAAGCACTTCTCAAACACTTCACGGATGTATCTGGGGTGGAGGCGAGAGCATCTAAAGTGAACTTGTTTGTTCTTCACACAAACTGAAGGGAGTTTTCAAATGCATTGAAAGAAGTAGCCAAACGTTTGAGAATGGTACGTTCTACCAATCTATGACCGCATGATATCAGAACAATGGGTCGAAAATGTTCGATCAAAGTATTAGATGCCCAAGGTCTTCAGTAATCATTATTGGAATACGTGATAAAGGATGTGTGGAACAGAGAAGTGAGGATACTCGTTAGGGCAGGAGAACCATGCTTGAAAAAAATGAATGATAGACGATCGGGAATGATACCAATGAACGGATTAGTTTTACAAAGGAGTTTCAACACTCCAAAATGGGGTTATATTAGCCGCATCGTTCGGAATCTATGAGTTACGAGGATCATTGTTTGTATGTATAAATTCGTTGCCTATAGTGCGAATGTCCACTGCTCAGTCAGTTGATCTGGATTTCGTTCCCCGTCGGAGCGGAGTCCCTTTCCATAGATGTCTCCTGTTTTGACTGCTTAGGGGTTGATTTGCATAGGACGAGTCGATACGCTTCATTTTCTGTTTTATCAATATGGAAATGTATCTGATCAATGACGAATTCAGGGCTTTATGTTAGTGTTTCTTATGTCTTATTACTGATTTGAGTTTCGGGTTTCCAAGGGACAACAGATGTCAAAGATGGAATTGATCGTATCAATGAATAAAATGAACCACGAGTTCAAATGGGTCAGGAGTCCGTAGAGAAGAAAAAGCACAATGTATTCAAGTAAAGTGATACAAAAACGGATTCGAAAATGATCAGTTTGTCTAAAGGAACGAAAGAAGGAAGAAGTAGGCAATGATAGACCCTTTGAGACATAGGTAGAGGAAAAAGAGGCTTTGGTGATTCGCAATTATTTTGTTTAAAACAAAATCACTTCCGGTCGAAGAAGTGCGTAAATCGGTTAGATTCAAAACAGTGAGCAACAGCATTAGGCTGTGGTTAAAGCTGCCTACAATGATTTACAGATTGTGGAACAAGGAAGTCGAACAAAGATGAGTGGGGTTTTATGTTACCTAATGGAGCTGTGCAATAGTTTGTTATGAAAGCATTTCTATGTCAGGAGAATATAGGCTGACTGAACGGTAAATAGTATATCTGAATTTTAGACCCAGGAAATTTTGATACATCGGTAGTCCCACCAATCGCCAGTTTTCTTATCGGAGCACTTTAAAGAGAAATCGACAGACACCAACGTGTGTGTATGCAACATGTGGCTTCAACCATGATTCTTGTATGCAAATCACACATGTATGAATATGAGTTGGAGAATGAATAACAAATGATCACTTCGAGATTTTCAAGAGCAAACAACAGGTTCTCGTATTCAGTAGTGTTGGGATGGACATGATGATGGACGGAACGAGGGCATTTCGGAGCAAGATTGTGCTTTTTGGTGTGAATTCCGAAATCTGAGAGAATGTGGCATAGTTGAATCGAATCGTGGGGTAAATTTGTGATTATGTTCGAGCAGAAGCAATTCCGATCGTACATAACGGCTAGGCAAAGGCTATAGTGATAACAAAATTCATTCTTCAATTTGATGAGTTATGACACCACAGAATTGTGGTGCAGCCAGTCAAATGACGCGCGCATTAGCTGACAAATCTGCATATTGGTAATGAAACTAGAAACTGGAAAAGACTGGAGATGGGCGAATCGAGTTTGTGCATCGGATGAACTACTGCTCCATCGAGTAGTTTCACAGAGTTCCTGGCTGTCAAGCCAAATACGCGAAGGATACCAGTTTTGTGCCTGTTTCTAGGGCAATTTTCCTAAAAAGAAATCCATGTTGAGAGCTATCAAGGTCCATTGCCTGGATGACGGATTCACTACCACCCTATTTTTTTTATTTTTACTTCCTTTTTTATTTATTGAATATACAAATGTACAGTTTTACTGCGGCTGCGGCCATACAAAGGCTGCCTGGGGAAAAACAGATATAGAGAAGACAGACGGTGGTGGAGTGGTTTGAACCTGGGACACCCGGGGGACTAGTCGGTGACCTAACCACTTGGCCACCACCGCCCACGCGTCTGGGTTCTGACTGTTTGCCAAGTATTTCGGTAGGTTGCGCAGGCCCTCACAATCACCCTGGTGGAACTGGAAAGCCGATGTGGGGTCGCAGTTTTTTCCAAGATTCTATGACGTGGTCATACGATAAACTTAAGATAACAAAGTCAATTTGGAATTCTCTTATCGCGGGATACAATGCCTCGAAAACGCTATCCTGAAGTAAAAAAATACGTTTATTTTAAACTGATGAATATACATAACCTGAAAAAACGGAGCGAATCAAATCCATTTATGAAAAGGGGATAATCTTTCGACGCATTCATTAAAGCAGAAGACAGCTAATTACTCGTTATCAAAGTAAAACAGTTATCTTACTGTCCACGCTTCATACAACCAGTCGCCATCATCTCAAGTTGTAAAAAACGCGTTTGGAGTTGTTATAGTGGCTATAGTTTTGGAAAAATTCAGCATTGCATATGTATCTCAGCAATGGCTCTTGACTACGTCGGTCTGCACAAACATGCTCGATATTCCAATCCCTAAACGTGTGAATTTGCGACATACGAGTCTTATGGGGTGAATACTACGCGAAAGACGTCTATCATAATGCTTGTACACAACAACTGTGAGACCGGTGTATTCTAAATTTATAATTTCAATCTTGGTACTATTTTTCACAATCACATGTGTACCAAACTAAACGAGAAGGAAAACGTGTGTGTGTGTGTCTGTGTGTGTCTGACTGACTGACTCAAATCGACAGCAAGGACGTCAGACCTGATCTGCTTTATTTGTCAATCACGGGTTTAACGTATTGTTCACAGTTACCAAAACATGGATGTGTTGCTATGTAAACTTTGTAGAAT